AGAAATTTTGTAATGAAATTGTATTCAAGTATTTTCCTGCCTCCCAGCTTCAGACCATCTAAGGGTCGCTGGCTCTCCAGGGCCCAGGTCTTGGCTGTTCCTTCTCCTCAGCCCCTTCCCAGGGTTGGACACACCGTGGGTCAGCGAGCGGGTGCCCTGAGTGCTGCCCTCAGGGGAGGGAACCCTTGGCCCGGGCCTCACAGCCATGCGAGGGCCTGGTTGTTTCTGCTCTGCCCCCGCGATCTGCAGAGCCACCGCCAGGCACCAGATTAGGCAGAAGCTGAAGACTCACAAATGCCTTCCTGAAAAAAGGGACAGGAGACGGGGCGGGCGTAGCAGCCTCTCCCATGGCCCCCTGCCACCCCGCCCCCATCACAGCACCTCCGAGGTGGGCAGCCATGTGTCCCAGGCATAGATTACGTAACGTGTTGCTTCCAAATGTGGGGCCATCCCACTGCTTGGGGTTATAGGTTGCCTGTCTGGTTTTCCAAGCTGTCTCCCAGGGCGCAGTCCTGGGCTGCGTTGGTCCCATGGTGTTCTCTCCTGCCTGGGCGTGGGGACCCTTCCCTGACCTCTCACTTGATGTCAGCTCACCCAGCGGTGACCCTTGCCGTTCTCTTGGAGGGGGCTCTGACCAGCGCCTCGATCTCAAGTTGCATCTATTTCAGGGCCCTGACGCAGCTGGGCACACCGATGGGGTTGTTATTTTGGAGCTTGCTGGTGGCCTGCAGCTGCTCCTGACCTCAAGAGGTGGAGGGGATGGGAGAGAAGACATAGCTGGACTGGGCACTGGCCCCAGGGATTCCGTTTTTAGCTGTTTCCCAGCATCTCCTAATTCCTGCAGTATTTCAGGCAAGGCAAACATTTTCCTGCCTCTTCTTTCTCTCTATCCCCCACCATTTCTCCTTCCTTGTCTTCTTTCTCCTTACATCTCCACTTGCAGGTTCTCCTTCTTGGTCTTTAGTTAGCAGTGTCATTCAATGAATTTTGCCTTGCGTGTCCATAGTGACCGCTATAAAGCCCTACCTTTGGGTTCAGAAAGCTAATCGCCTGAGTGCAAGTGGACGAGCTTTGGTTGACAAACTCAACCTGAGCAAATAGTAATATCTGGATTTACCTAGGACCCAGGAACCAGGGACTTCACTCACTACCTCTGCTCCCTGTAGCAACATGGAAAGGCAGGTATTGTTACCCCTGCGCTCAATTATGAGTGATTTGAGGAGTAAGGTGGCTTACCTACAGGTCACCAGCCAAGTGCTGGATCAGACACTGAAACTCATGCCTGCATCATGCATCACCCCAAAGCCTGTGTACTGGGCTGCATGGCATGTAAAAGATAATAACCGTGGCTCATGTTAATTAACCTAGTGATTAATTACTATATGCCAGGTATCTACTAGGTGCTCTGTGTTCCTTACTCCATTTCACCTTCACAGCATCCCTTCTGAGGGGAGTATTAGAAGACAGATTCTGTACCAATCAGTAAATGCTGATTTCACTGCTGAAGAAGAGGGTCCCGGAGAGGTGGAGCTATTTATCCAAGGTTGTACACCTAGGAAATGGCAGAGCCAGGATTTGAACCCAAGCTGCTGACTGCAAAGTTCTTGCACTTACGCTCCTGTCTTGCTGACCAATATATGGAGACTGGTTACTCACGAACCTGAGCTACTCTTCAGATGCATTATTAGAAGTATAGTGCATTTATCAGGGGAGGTGGTGGCCACACCGCCTTGAGCTGGCCAGGGCGCCTCTGCAGTACGGCGTCTGGTTCTGTTCATTGTCCAGCAGGTGGGAAGGTTATGTGAGGAGTCTGCGTATTCCCTGAGGAGAGTTGTCTTCAGTAGGGGCCTGAAGCAGTAGGTATCAATACAAGGAGCCATGTTTTAGTTTAAGAGAAGGAAACACTTTTTAAAAGTCAGAGTAGCTCAACAACGGCCCATGTAGCCTGGGTGGTAGAGAGCACGCAGCAGTGGGCATATTCACGCAGAAGAGGGCTCCGTATTCAAGAAGAAGGGGCAAACCAGGGTGACGCACATCCAGTCTCATGGGCTCTGACTGATGGTCCTGAGTGCGCGGGGAGCCCATGTGTGCGGACCCCCTGACAGCCCTGGTCCTGTAGGCCCTGGCTGGGCATCTCTGAGCCACTCGTTTCCTCCTCACCCTGCTGTCCCTGTTCCTCCCCCTCTCTGTCTCCAAGTCTCTGGAGTCCTCAAGGCCACTTCTGGAATCCCTGAGGGGTGAGGGGACAGGGGCTGTTCCCTGTGGCCCAGGCCCACCCACAGCCTTCCCCACGTTCCCACTTTGACTCTTGGGCCTCCGCCTGGGGCGCTCAGGCCCCTCTCGCCGCTGCCTCCCCGCAGCCCCGCAGCCTGTCTGCACCGACGCTGTCACAGAGTCAATTCCCTGGAATAATCGCATTTTCCGGTCGGCTCCCTTCTCCTTGCCAAGCATGATGCTGGGAAACCCCAACCAGCCAGGCCCCAAGAGGCTTCTCCAGAGAGAAAGGGCACTTAGAGGAGGGCCTGGCACCCTCCCCTTGCTTGAGCCCAAGCAACACTGTGTCTGGAAGGTGCAGGGGCTGGGTGGGAGAGGACAAAAACAGGGGGGCTTTAGGCACTGTCTCTAGACTCAGCTAGAGCTGGGTTCTGGCCTCTGCTGGCCACACCAGTCCAGTCCCCCAAGTTCTGCTCTCACACCGAGCACCCAGCCGTCCTTACCAAGTTCTGGAGAGAAAGCACATTGTTCCCATGGGGAGGCTCCGAGAAAAGACTCCCAGGGAGGGAATGGCCCATGATGTGGCCCCTGGTGGCATTAGCCAAATTTGGGGATTCCCACAGAAGGGGTTCAATAAAAAGGAGGGCTTGAAGCAAAAACCGTGGCATTGGGAGTTGGGCCGACCTTGCTTCAATCCTGGATCTGCCACTTGGCTCCCGTCACATAACACCTCTGAGCTTTATCTGTACAGAGGGAACACCTCCTTGGGAAGCTGTAAGGATGAAGTACAGGCGTAATTCATCGTGCACAGTGACTTTTATTATAAATTACAGGACTTCATATGGCTGGATGTAGCACAGCCATTAAAAACAATGTGGTGTTAGCCCTGGACAAGTGGTTCAGGTGGTTGGAGCGTCAGCCTGCACACCAAAAAAGGTCATGGGTTTGAGTCCTGGTCAGAGCATGTACCTAGGTTGCAGGTTCTATCCCCAGTCAGGGGTCATTCTGGATGCAACCAACCAATGTTTCTCACGTCGATGTTTCTCTCCACCCCTGCTCCCCTCCATCCCTTTCTCTCCCTCTAAAAGCAATAAAAACATATCTTTGGGTGAGGGTTAAAGTATATATGTGGATATATATTATATATGTGGATATATATTATATATGTGTGTCTATAGATAGATAACACTATATACATAGTTTTATACACACACACACACACACACACACACACACACACACACTTAAAGATATAGTGTTAAAAACCTAGTCATTGGCATGGAAAGGTATTCAGGATGTCATAAGCGGAAAAGCTAGCTTTGAAAAGGAAATCTTCATGGCAGTGTTCTTAGTCTGGAGTCCATGCCCACGGATGGCTTTATGTGGTTCACAGATTCTCTAAAATTATCCACAAAATTTAGGGAGAATGTGCATTTTTCTGAAGAGGGCATAGAGCAGTTACCACATTTTCCAAGGGATTTGTTACCTATACAAGGTTAAAAATTACTGGTGTTTATATAGCATGATTCAATTTTTGCATTAAAAAATGTAAGCAAAAATTATACTGAAAAGAAAAGACTGCAAGATTATGCATCCAAATATTAATAGCATTTTTCTCTGGCGGGTTGGCAGGCAATTATTTTTTTCTTTTTGCTGAACTGTCTTTTGTACAAAATACAGTCTGTATGGCATATATGATTAAAAAGAGACAGGTTTTGATTTCCTATTAAGTCACTTTCAAAAAGGATGGCTTGGATACATTTGCTCAGTTTCACCCAGCTGCAGTGTCCTTTTGGGGCAATAATAACTTCAAAAGGTAATTGTTAGGACAAGATGAGACAATTTATGCGAAGAGAAGTTCAAGGGATGTCAGCAGGGCATTCAACACATTTATTTACTGCTTGTTTACCAAGTGCTCAGGCTGTTCTAGCTGCTGAGGGTAAAGAGAGAGGGCCACAGGAGTTACATTTTAAAAATACCTTTTATAAGCCTATCATTCAGAAGCAATCATATTTTTTAATTTTGTTGCAGGGACCCCAGTATTTGAGTCCCTCTGGGCACAGTTGCCCAAAAGAAATGCATGAGCAGGAGTTCATAGTATAGAAAGAAAAGTTTAATAGTGAATCGGCCAATCCTCTAAAGACCCAACTCCCCGGTGGAGTCTAAGGTACAGATCATATAGGGCAAAATCACAAGACGGGTGTGTGTTGTGCTGGAAGCTAATTGGTTGGAAGTGAGGTAAGGGTAAAAAATCCTTTCTTCGGGTCTTAAGGACAGCTTTGAGGTCTGCTCTGGCATCCCCTGGCTGGATTCATGGAAAAGTAACCAGAGGGTGTTTCCACCTTAGGGTTCAGGAGCTGAAACATAACTTAGGTCAAGATGTTATCTTTAGTTTACCAGAGGTCCAACCATTAGTCAGGTCCCGGCTGTTGTCTTCTGCCGCCTCTGGGTTGAGGGGAGAGGGTAGGTCTACGGAGGTGTGTAGAGAGAGATAGGAGATTTCTAGAGCTAGGATTCAAAGCTAAATTTAAAGTCATAAAGGCCCTTGGTTTCCATGTCGGTGTCTTTCCCTTCAGTCTTAATGCTTTGCTTAAGCAAATAGATGTTCTGCCCAAATTCAGTTGCCCATTTACTCCTTAGTACTAAGCATTTTCAATGCCTTAAAAAGTCTGGTGTTTTGTTAATGCCTGGTTTAAAGTCTAGTGGGAGGATGGGCGCGGGCAATGGGGACTGCACCCTGGGTGGCCTGCCTGACAGTGTCCGTTCTCTCCCCTCCCTGGCCACAGACAGCGAGCTGGTGCTGCCCGACTGCCTGCGGCCACGCTCCTTCACCGCCTTGCGAAGGCCGTCGCTGCGGCGCGAGGCCGACGACGCGCGCCTGTCCGTGAGCCTGTGCGACCTCAACGTGCCGGCGGGGGAAGGCGACGAGGCCACGCCGGCCACCGGTTGCCCCATCCCGCAGAACTCGCTCAACTCGCAGCACAGCCGCGCACTCCCCGCGCAGCTCGACGGGGACCTGCGCTTCCACGCGCTGCGCGCCGGCGCGCATGTCCGGATTCTGGACGAGCAGACGGTGGCGCGCCTGGAGCACGGGCGCGACGAGCGCGCGCTCGTCTTCACCAGCCGGCCCGTGCGCGTGGCCGAGACCATCTTCGTCAAGGTCACACGCTCGAGCGGCGCTCGGCCCGGCGCGCTCTCCTTCGGCGTCACCACGTGCGACCCCGGCACGCTAAGGCCTGCCGACCTGCCCTTCAGCCCCGAGGCCCTGGTGGACCGCAAGGAATTCTGGGCTGTGTGCCGCGTGCCCGGTCCCCTGCACAGTGGCGACATCCTGGGCCTGGTGGTCAATCCTGACGGCGAGCTGCACCTTAGCCACAACGGTGTCGCTGCGGGCATGCAGCTGTGCGTGGATGCCTCGCAGCCACTCTGGATGCTCTTCGGCCTGCATGGGGCCATCACGCAGATCCGCCTTCTCGGTGAGTGCTCCCGGCCAAGAACCAACCTCCTCGACAGAACCCGGAGGCTGGCCTCAGCTGACCTCCTCAACACACCCAGCATATTGTGTTTCCTGGAAGAGGGGGCGATCGGTAGGGAGAAAGAGGGGCTAGCCTGTCTCGAGGGCTTGCCAAGGAGCCACAGACACTGAAATGAGTTCTGGGCAGGACTCCACGGTCCCCAAATCTCACCAGACACACCCTGAGGAGGGGAGAAAAGCCTGGATTTTTGAGTTTCACTCTTAGAATCTGATTAATCCACATTCCCAAAGATACATAATACTATAATCAGTCCAGGTACACACACTCTGACGGCCACTTAAAATGAGAAAATGGTGTTTCCACCAGCACTTAACTTTTGGGGGCTCAGTTTCCATTTCTCCCAAATGGTAAGAAAGGCCTCTGCCTTTAAGTTGGTTGTGTGTTCAAATAAGGAGAGGTTGTATGTTAGTGGCCAAGTGCCTGTGTAGGGTGGTGCCTGGGTTGGGGGGCCCTGGGGAACCCCTGAGCAGAAAAGGCTTTGGAGGAAATGGGGTTGCAGAAGCCTGAGCTTTACTTTCCTGGGTTTGAGTGGACAGACGTGGATGTGGGCCTGGTAAGCCATGTTTGTCAGAATGCTCTGGGTTAGTTGTCTGTTGAAAAAGAGCTCTTGGGTCAAAAAAGCTTGTGCAATACTGAGCTTTTTAAAGGCAGGACTTCTCAGCTTTTAATATGAAGTGTGAATCTTTGAGGAGGGAGCAGTGGTGGTTATGGTGTACAGTTTTTTGAAAGCAGTTTGACCAGACACCTTTTTTTCCCAAAGCATCCCCTGGACTCTCTTACCCCAGGGTGAGCAGGTATTTGTGCTTTCCAAGTGCTGGCCTGCTAATCACTTACAGTGGACTGCGCCGGTTTCATTAGACTCACTGGGAGAACCCACTGAAATGCAGATTCTTGAGATTTTGATCCTGTAGATCTTGGGTAGGTCCTGGGCATCTGATTTTTTTTTTTTTTTAAGTTTGGTTAAACAAGTTTGGAATCATAAAGACCCTTGGGTATTACAGCCCTCAGCCTACACCTGATCCCAGGAGGCTTCATAGGCAAGAAAATGTGTGTGTGTGAGCATGAGTTACATTATAAGGTTGGCATGCTGTGTGTAGGCACATGTGTGTAACTAAATGCATCCATGTGTGTGTGGATGTCATGCTGTTGGCAAGTGTAGGAGTGTGTGAGGAATCGATAAAATCAGTGGGAACGTCTTCCTCTGTTCCAGACACCAAATGAAGGTGGCATTTGAAAAGAAATGAGGCTGGCAGGCTAAGAAGTTAGGACTGAGGAGAATTAACTCAGGAAGGAATGAGAAGAAACCAGGCTAGATGAAAGGCATCAGGAGGGGAAGAAGTTGGGGGTGAAAATTCAGGATGGAATAAAAAGAAATCAGGCTCGGGTGCAGGAGAAAATCAGGCTGAGGTAAAAAGATACTCAGTTAGATTCACCGGAGGACACTGCCCCTCGGATGAAGTGAATTACATAAGGGCGAGGTACTCTCTTGCTTCAGCACCATCTAATAATAGATTAGCAGCTTTCCAGTGAGGCTTCTGTTGCCCAAAGAGGCTTACTAGACCGGAGCAAAGAAGAAGCTTAAAAAAAAAAAAAGTTTGAGACTTAAATGTCTCAAGAGGTAAGTGGGTCAAGATGGGTATTGAAGAATAATCATTCAGAATTTCAATATACACTAAGTAGCGTGCTCCTGAGCTGTTGGGAGAAGTGGGTGTCTCAACCAGCAAACCGGTGTTAGGGGATCCTGACTGACTCCAAAAGGAAAATAAATCAATGACAATGGATGAAGAGTAACTGTTTACCTTGTAGAGGAATGCTTTGCTTTGCTGAAGGCTGAAGTGAACTAAAAATGGAAGGCTATTTTTTTTTTCACTCCAAAACTATAACCAATTTCATACTTAATGGTGAAACACTATAAATATTCTTAATAAAGCCATGAATATGAAAGGGGTGTCTTTTGGTATTGTTCTGAAAATGCTAGTCAGTGCAATAAGGGAAGAAAAGTAAATCGGAGATATGAATTGCTAAAGGAGATAATTAACTTGAAAATTATTAACACTAATAAGAGAAACCCTCTGGATAGCTAATGACTATTCCTAGAAACAACGTCTATTAAATGGATTAGAAGACATAACTAATAAAAAAGATCTCATTGAGTACTTCTTTGTGTGAGGGCATTGTGTTAGGGGCTGTGGGAGGGTCGTAGGTGAGTAAGATTTCTTGCTCTCAGGAAGCTCATGGTCTAACTGGGGAAACAAAGCGGCATTCCTGGGCAAAGGACAAGAAAGACCCTGGAATCCGTGGTAGTTTAATCCTTTACATGTGGTGTGGGTGGCTGGTCAGTGCTGAACGGAATCATGTGGTTGTGGGGGGAGAGCCAAGGCTTCCCAGAGGAAGGGATTTGAGGACAGCCCCCAAGAGGCTCCCGAGATCGTTAGCTGTGTGGGGGCAAGATCTGTGTGGGTCTTGCTGTGTGGGTCTTGCTCCCAGCTTTATGTGTACACAGTATATGGTACCTGGTAGGCGCTTCGAGAGGATGTGCTGCACGGAGGAGGGAGGAAGGAGGGAGGAGCAGAAGATGGAGAGGTGTGAGGGAAGGAAGGAGGGAAAGAATGTGGGACAGCCAAGTGTGGGAGATGGGGAAGGGCATTTTAAAGGTGCCAGTGCAGAGAAGGTGGGTGATATCTGGGGGCAGTGACAGCGCAGGGCTCTGAATGGGAGGGTGAGGCTAGGGCAGACGGGTCATTCTGGGTGGGAGGAAGGTGACCTCGTTCTCTGGTGTGGGAAGCCAGGAAGGTGAAGGATGCGTGGGGAAGGGCAGAGGGGGGCTTCGGGGCCGGGGGCTCGTTTGGAGACTGCTGGTGTAGCGGCAGAGGAGGACATGCGGCTCTCCAGTTTGCAGGTGGGAACCCGGAGCGGGGGCAGGATGCTGGGCCAGCCTACGGACTCCTGCCCCGAGCCCAGCGGCTGGGTGCTATGGTCAGACTGCGGTACCCACATTCTCTCTTGGGAACCTGTTGCAGAGGCAGAGGCCTGAGCTTTCCCCCAGGGGCCTCTGAGGACTAGTGTATCCCTCTCCCCTTCTGCAGGCTCCACCATCCTCGCCGAGCGGGCCATCCCATCACTTCCCTGCTCTCCCGCCTCCACGCCAACCTCGCCCAGTGCCCTGGGCAGCCGCCTCTCTGACCCCTTGCTCAGCACTTGCAGCTCAGGTCCTCTGGGCAGCTCTGTTGGCGGTAAGTGGGCCGGCCCCTCCAGGTCGATGGTGCCTGTGCCAGACCTCCTACCCCGAGGCCCCGGGCCACGGAAGGCACGTGGCCTGTGTGTCAGGGCTGGGGCCCTGGGGGTGGGGGGCTGGAGTAGGCTCAGTGAACCCTTGTTTGCTGGTGATTGCTGGGGAGTATCCCCTCCTGTGCCCTAGCTGGGTACCTTTCTCCAAAGGACTTCTTTTTTAGCACACTGGGAACACCAAAGGATAGCTCAGGTGGGGCCTGCCTTACAAGACCTTGGGCCCCTTTCTTCCTCCATCCTTCCTCCTCCTCTATCACTGTGGCACGAACAGCCTGGCCCCCGGTCTGAGAGCTGAGGAGAGCACATCCCTCTCCTCTTGTGTCCAGGAAGCTGGGTTGTAAGAGTAAACAGGCAGCTCTGATAAATGGTGGCGGGAACGAGAGGCCAGGGGGCTCTCCCCTGTGAACCTGGGACTGGGTTGGACCCAGCCTCCCCTTGACTGGTGTCCTCTCACCCCCAGGGACGGCCCCCAACTCACCGGTGAGCCTGCCCGAGTCACCAGTGACCCCAGGCACGGGCCAGTGGAGTGACGAGTGCACCATTTGCTACGAGCACGCAGTGGACACGGTCATCTACACATGCGGCCACATGTGCGTCTGCTACGCCTGCGGCCTGCGCCTCAAGAAGGCTCTGCACGCCTGCTGCCCCATCTGCCGCCGCCCCATCAAGGACATCATCAAGACCTACCGAAGCTCCTAGCGCGGCGCGGCGCCCACCCCGCACGCCCGCCTCCTCAGACTTCAGCCCAGCTCCAGCCAAGGGGCAAACCAACGCGGGGGGGTGGGGGGCCCTTCTCTACTTCCTCACTTTGGAAATTTTTTTCTTCTCCATTAAACCTGGGAAACTGAGGCCCCTGAAGGTTTGGGGAGAATAGGGGTATCATGCAGGGCAGTGGGGGGCAGAAGCGAATCGCCTGGCAGAGGGGAGGGCAGGAGCGCACACTTTGTTGACCTTCCCCTCTCTGCACCCAACTCTGCCCTTCATGCTGAGGGACTACATCAGGGTCTCAGTCTGTCCCAATCCTTCCCCATGGGGGGCCGACTTCTAGGAGGTCCCTCTAGCCCACGCGGCACCTTTGTGAGAATTAGAAAGTGTGTCCCTTCCTCTGGGTAGATGTGGCCCTGAGCCAGGGCATGTGGTTTGGCTAGCGGAGTATGGCCTGCACATCAACCTCCACTCGCTGCCTCAGCCAGCGGCCCTGGAGCGGCACACAGCCCGCACCACAGCAGCCCCGGCAGGCAGGCCCTGAGCGGCCGCCTTCCTCCAACCCACCCCCCTTCTCCCTCTCTTCCCGGCCCCTGGGGACTCTACCCCATGCCCTGGGGGCTGGCAGCGTGGCGAAGGGTGGCCAGCGGCTCCCTTGGCCCCGGACGATGGCAGCCTCCATGCCCCGTGGTCTCCCACTCGCCCAGGATGGGCGGATGTGCAGGCTGCAGACGGCCCGGGCTGTGGCAGAGACGTGGAGGCCCCGTCTTGGCCATAGCCTTCCTGCCCCGATCATCTCGGCCCCGGTATGGGCTGGGGAGCACGGTGGTCTTCTGTCAGGGTCTCTAGGAACAGGTTTGCATTTCATCTCGGTGACCGGTCCTCCTGCATCTCAGTGCTGGCCTGGGCCTGGCCGACGCTGAGCTGCTGCAGTGCACCCAGGAGAGGGCAGGGCTCGGGGTTGGGGGCAGGGAGGCTTCCTGGAGTAAGACCAGCCTTTTTCTCTATTTTAATTTATTTATATGGGATTTTTTTGGATGGGGTGGGGGGGTGAGTTCCCACCCCTCAGGCTCTTAGAAATGCCGCCCCGTGTGTGGGATGCCTGGTGAGAGGGGCAGCATGTCCCAGACTCCAACCCCAAAGCCCAGGTAGCTCCGCTTACCGTGAGTCAGAACTCCTTAAAAAGGGGCTGAACTGGGAGGCCTCCTGGCAAATTGTGTCCACTTTACACAGAGGCAGATTGAGACTCCTTAGTTCCCGGGGCTGGTGGGTCACCCAGAGCCACCAAGTGCTCTGCCCCCTCGGGCTGAAGCAGGGTTATCCCAGTTGGCTCTGATAAGTCAGGAGGCCCAGGAGCCCAGGAGCCGGGAAGGCTGAAGGAGGGGAGTTGGCCTGGGCGGGGGAGCAGGGCTGGAGCCTGGCCTTAGGAAAGGCGCTCCACCCCCAGGACGGAGGAGAGGGATGAGGGCGGGGTCCAGCACCTCTGGGCTCTTGTTCCTGGGTCTGGGGTGAGGGCGCGCCCCCACCTGCCCTTAGGCTGCAGTCGCCTCTGCCCCATTTGCTCTGTCCCGCTGGGCCATGGGCTGGGGCCGGCTCCCAAGAGTCTTGGCTGGGCCTCCCCCCAGCCTCCCGGCCCTGGGCCGCCTCAGATGCCCTTTTACATCCATCAGAGACCACGTCTCCCCATGGCTGGCAGAGCGTGGGGCTCTGGACCTGGCAATTGACCAGTCGTGTGGTCTGGCCAGGTCAGAGGGCCCCTCTGTGCCTCGGTCGCCACCTCTGTGAAAGGATTGTTTAGGGAGCCCGACGGCTTTGTGTGACTTCAGAGTTCTTTGGGGAGGGGCCGCGATGGGGTGCTGTGCTGCGGGTGGGGGGTGGGGGGACAGCAGGTGCGGCAGGACACCAGGATGGGCCTCTGTCCTTGCCTGCAGGGGCCTTTGAGGAGTGATCCAGTTTCTGACCCCTGACGACCCTTTCTTTGGGGGTGGGGTGGGGGAGATGGTGACCCTATTTAGACAAGGGTCCCCTTTCTGAGGCAGGGATAGGTCTTAAGTGCAGGGGCTGCCCGGCCTGAGGGTGGGGGAGAGGAAATCATTGTCTCATTGTTAGTGCGGGGTAGTTGCTGCCTCCTTTGTGAACTTGGGTCGCTGTGATTGTCAATAAAGGTGATTTGTAGCAGCCTGAGGGCTGTGCTGTGCAGTGCAGTGTGGAGGGCTGGGGAGGGAGGGCCAGTCGGCGCAGGCAGTGTGAGTTGGGGGTGGGGGGGAGTTGGCGCTAGAGGGCCGGGCGTGCTGGGTATGGAGGGGAGCCAGCAGTCAGGGTAGACTCCCTGGAGTGGGGGGCGGGAGCATGACCTGGTCAGCAGGGGCCAGAACGGCAGGTGAGCCTTGTGAACTGAAAGGGAAAAGCCACTGCCCTTTGGTAGCCTCAGGCCCCTGGGCTTTTGAGGACCAGTGTTTGTCGGAGCAGGAGCGGTGGGAGTCCACGAGGCCTGCTCAGCTCCCTCTAGGCTGAGGGGGGCCCAAACCTGGTGGGCAACCCTGTGGGCAGGCAACACCACCAAGCGGCTAATAGAAGGATGACAGGACTTCAGGTCAGCAGCGGCGGGGCTGAGCTCCTCCGGAACACGGCCTCCCCAGCCCTGGCCCCTGCCCTTCAACTGAGCTCCCACTGGTGGTGGGTGCTGAGGCCTATGCCAGATGGATGGCACAGCTGGGCAGAAAAGGGAGGCCTCCGGCCAGAGACCTTTAGAGAAACTTTCTAGGTGAGTACATCCAGCTGGCTGCAGGGGCCAGGGGTGGCAGCGGGTGTCTAGACACAATGAGGACACTGGCTTCCCAGCCTCTGCCTGGGCTACATCAGGACTGCCCAGCCGTTTACTAGAGTCCAGGAAATGTGGGGAGGGCCGGGGGCGCCAAGCTGAGGGTCCAGCTAGGCTGGCTGGATGTGGATCTTTGCCCCCACCCCACCCCGAGATCTGCATCTCTTATAAAGCCCAGGCACCACTGCCCAGACGGCTTCCCTTTGGCGACAGTGGTGAAGGGGGAGGAGCTGGAGCAGGATTCTCACCAACACTGGTGGGAACTTACCTGCCCCGCCCACCGCCCCCACAGTGACCTCAGAGGGCCCAGATCCTGTAGTTCATTCTGCACTGGGGATAACTTTGCCATTAAGCTGGATGGGTTTCCTCGCCTCAGGGAGAATTAGGAGTTGATTCTGTTCAGTTAAAAAGGCCAAAAACTTTATTTAATTTTCAGGGAAATACAAGAAGATGCATGTAAACATAAAATACAAAACAAAACAACCCAAATCTTACAGTCTAGAAGCATGCCAAGACAGATTATTTCTGCAGACCAAAGAGTCCCGTCAAAATGATAAAGGACACCTGGAAAGTTGCAGGTCAAGGGGTCTGGGTCCCTTCCCCAAGGACACTGCATTTTTGTGATGAGAACAATTCAAAATAAAACCCACTATTCAAAATATTAGAAACATGGAAAGAGTTTAGCACCACCATTGATCCTGGAAGTTGTTTAGCACTCAAATTGACAGGCCCTGAATTCACTGTCCTTCAGTTTCTCTGCTGAGGAGGGAAGAGGGAACCACCTCTTCCCGGCCCCCGCAAAGCCCACTGGGAGCTGGGAGGGGGTGAGTGGGCACCACGAGGAATTCCCCTAAGTCCTGAAGCCCAGAGACATCCAGCAGATCACATGCAACCCTGCAGTCCACAAAGCCACGCTCCAGGGACCTGCCACTCACACCCACGCCACTCGGGGGTCACCTTCCTGCGGACCTCCGCAACTAGCTGTGAAACCCTTTCCCATCCTGTGTCCTGCATTTAAAGAAAAGCTGTTGCAGAGGACACGATGCAGGTTCCAGATTGGTAGCTATTTACTCTTCTTTCTCGGAAATGAACACTTAAGAGCAGTTTGCCTTGATCATAGGCCACTAAAAACGAAAGGGCATGTTCATGGCTGAGTGGGCATTGGACCCCGTCTGCTAGGTCCCACCAGTGGGGCGAGCTCAGCAAACTGAAAAACCACAGCTATCTGCGGACATACTCGAGAATAACTGGGGTCGACATGAACAAATGAGGTTGCCTTCCTCCCAGACAAGCTTGATGGTATCTGGACCCCGAAGTTCCACTTTGGGGGTGGTGAGTCCTGATTGCATGACCTATTTGGTCACTAGTCTCTGATTCAAGCAATTTGAGAGGCTAGCTCTGGAATGGACAAAGGAAGATGGGCAAAACCAGCTGAGAACCAGGGAGGTGGGTGAATATACTGGAGCCAGGGCCTCCAAATGCAAGTACAATTTGTTGCTGGTGACTTCCCCTCTCCACTATGTAAATCAATGGCCATTAAGAACCTGCTGGGGACCCAGCTTGTGGCACAGCGAGTGGAGTGGCCGTTGCCTCTGGCCAGCTCCTTTTCCGGTCGAATCCTGGGGCCTTCCCAGCCTGCCCTGGCTGGGCCCTTGGGTGTTGAATCACTAAATTCCCTCCTTTCCTAAATTCTTCCTGAAACATTCAGAATCAACTTCTTCCTTCTTAATAAAGACAAAACTCCAGACTCCCACTCCTCCCTCAGCCTTCTCACACTTCCCTCTCTGTCTAGAAGACATCCTCTTCCGAAAGCCGCCTTCCCAGGGAAGGGACGGTCGTCCCAGACACCCCAAACATGCCACACATGCACATACTCATCTTGCCAACATGCCTCTCGCTCACTTCCAACATGCTCGATCCGTCCTTTTGCTTTAAAGCAATTCTTCCTATTTCCTGAAGTCCAGCCCCATTAGCCGGGATGGAACTGGGGGCAAAGGAGGGACCTTCAGCACAGGGACCCATTGTCTAAGGCCACTAACTTCTAGGACTGGGACAGGAGAGGGGGCTGATTGTCAAGGTCAAGTGCAAACTCAAGATTGAAAAGATAGGATTGGGGCAGGGGGATCTCAATCTTATAGGCAGGCTGGGGCCGGGCCTTGGAAGGTAGAGCCCTCTACCCAGTCTGTAAGCTCCAATGTGCCCAATTTCTTGTCTGGGAGCCCAGGTGCACTGGACAAAACAGGAGGAAAGCTAGTCAGTGGGACTATTTTTCCTGAAATGAGGCAATAGGTCACCGACGCCAATCTTCTCTGATCATGGA